GTTTTATGGTCTGACTGCCCGACGAGCTCTGTCCGGCGGGGGTGGGGGGGTTGACCTGTCCGGTGGGGGTTTCAGTCCCCCCTGCCACCCCACTGGCGCCGCTACTGGGGCTGGGGCTGGCCTCTGGCCATAGGCAATTTCAGATGCTCCTGATTAATGTTTACTTTTCTTGTTCACAATTCATGTTTTTCTTGTTTGTGCATGTTCATCAAATGAATTCAATCAATAAATGTTATTGTTTGTATGAAGATATAATTATATTATTATGTATCAGATGTGAACCTTGTATATAAAACCTAAAATGCTTACTTGTTAATTGAAAACCGATGAATTTTTTCAATTATATTATTATGTTTATATCAAATGTTTGAATATAGGCCCACTGTATTGATGAATCTATAGATGCTAACACAATTTGTTCACATGCTATCTACTGGGCCTACCCAATACCATGTATTTAGGCTATTAATCCTCATTCATTTCGTGCTATGATGATACTACTAATATGTAATATGATAATGCTGATTGATAACGAGTGTGAAATACTCACTATTCTGTTGTATCAATAGCATTGTCCAATGAATGCTGTAACTGAACACGGTAATGTTCAGGTTGGGTGATTTTTTTATTTATATATTGTGTTTTTGATATTCATTATAATTCTTTTTCTGTTCATATATCTTTTCTCAATATTTTTCTATTCCCAGAAAAATAGACAAAGAATCCACAGATATCAGGAAAGGATGTCCGCACTCGGTCGTGAAAGGGCAACAGACCTTACCAACTATTTATAGATAGACAAAAACCAAGCTTCCTGCAGAAATTCTGGATATGAACTTAAATATAATATAGTGTGAATATTATTCTTTTTTTAAATATATTTTCCTCTACAAAAATCTTAAAAACAATGTTAGCAATATTTATTAATTCTTGTAGGTTTAATGTTTCTTAATATTGTATTATTACTACTAATGTTTATCTTAATAAAATAGACAATATCCAATAATATTGTTGTGAAGAATATAGACATATGTGAGATAATAAGATATAAAATTTGGAGGATTGAAATCAGGCCTAATATACATGTAATAGATTTTTTTTTAAATAAAATATAGGCCTACATATATCCCAACTTGATTTCAAAGCTTGGAAATAAAAGATCAACTGAAATTATGCATTGCCTCTCATCTTATTCAATGTCTGTGCTTACTTTAACAAATTCCCAAAGCTAAAATATTCTTATAAACCAGAAATGAAATCATTTCGAGGACGCCCTCAACAAATCAACCGACGTCTTCCTGTTTAGTAACTGCACCAATAAAACTTTCGAAGACGCCCTCAACAAAATGCATAAAACAGGAAGTGACGTCGGTTGCTAGGCTACAGCTCATGCATATTCAGTAACACCTGTTCTAATTAGACTAACAATAAAATCTTTTTGGTCGATTTTGTCAAAACTGACCAAAAAGTTTTTATTGTTAGTCTAATGAGCACAGGTGTTACTGAATATGCATGAGTTGTAGCCTAGCAACCGACGTCACTTCCTGTTTCGAAAATTTCGACGGCACTTTATTCTGTAAATGTTCGTAATTTGTTTATACCATGTAAATGTTTGGAAATAGCTAAAATATCCTTATAAACCAGAAAAGCTAAAATATACTTATAAACCAGAAATTAAATCCTTTCGAGGGCGCCTCAAGAAATCAACTGACGTCTTTTCCTGTTTTGTAACGACCGGCACCAATGAAACTTTGAAGACGCCCACAACAAAAAGCATAAAACCGGAAATGACGTGGTTGCTAAGCAACAAGCTCATGCATAATCATGAATATTCAGTAACACCTGTTCTAATTAGACTAACAATAAAATCTTTTTGGTCGATTTTGTCAAAACTGACCAAAAAGTTTTTATTGTTAGTCTAATGAGCACAGGTGTTACTGAATATGCATGAGCTGTAGCCTAGCAACTGACGTCACTTCCTGTTTCGAAAATTTCGACGGCACCTTATTCTGTAAATGTTCGTAATTTGTTTATATCATGTAAATGTTTGAAAACATGTTTAAAAGATATTGTAGTAGCCTATAATAGTGGTATATTCGATTCGAATTAATTATAACATATTTAATTCGATTATATAGTGATTAATAACATGAATTATATTATTACTTCAATTACGACTAAGGAAGTACACACAATGATGTATTTTAAATTACACATCGGTTAACTTTTATTTATTTCTTTCATACTTGGAAATGCTACAACAGAACTAGGCCTATACAAATGTAATATAAATCACAAAGATTGTAGTTTTATATAATATTATCTATCTATCTATCTATGTATCTATATATATATATATATATATATATATGTATATATATATATATATATATATACATATATATGGGTGGGGTGTGTGTGTGTATGTATATATGCTGCTTAGGCCTTATTATAATTATTTAAGTATGTAATATCGTTCGAGGATTACTTGTTCGTTGTACAAGGAACATAATTTGCAAATGTAATCAAATTCCGGTGATCCAGTGGTATAAAACCTAACAAATATCTGCGCGCGATTATTTGTAGAAGACCACATAAATCTGGCTATTGATAGTAGGGCCTACATTGTGTTCCGCCAATTAATATACATCGTGTTCCGGTGACAATGATTGTACTTCCACCTCACACTTCTTGATGGATCGGTAGATTTGAAGTAAGGCACTGAAAAAATAAGAGATTGAACTAGTGAGAAATACATTCAAAATATATTTTGATTTTGATATTTGTGGGCTGTTTAAATATGCACCTCATTAGATTGAAATATTTTTTTGGAAATGTTAAGACATTATGAGTTATACTTTTATGAGGTAAAGGAATCTAAATTGCTAATTGTTTAAAAGATTCTGTAAAGTGTTCAGGTTAATAAAAAGTTTATCTCTATAA